TTAGCATCGATGTTCATTTGTCCGATGCATCGTTCGTCGATGTATGGATGTTACTCCCCAAAATTTGCATCCCTACACGTCGACTCCGTTCGTTTGAACGAATTAAAACATCATACTGTGATAGGAAATTTTTACAAAATTATTATTTAAACACGCTATATCTCAGACGTTTGTGTATCGCTCGATTTGAAATTTTCACACAATAAACTAAAAACTATTCCAAAGAATTTAAGTTTAAAAAACTTCTTAATACTTATTAAAAACAAAATGCCGGTTTTTAGAACTTTTTTATAAAAATAAATGGGGCGGTTTTATTCTAATTAAAAATGTGTGTTATAAAGTTTCAAATCTAATTTCTTTTTTAATGCAGCATTATAGACAAATACCTGAAACAGTTTTTGGGAAATTTTCAGATTTAAATATCAGGTCGTTCAAAAGTTATAACAATATTAAAGTGATGCGCACGTGTGATATATATCGAGTTTAAGTGAAAAAGTGAAAGTCGGCTCGGTTCGGTTGCACGAATTAAAAAAAAATATTAAAATATTAAAATAGGTTTTACAAAGTTCACTCAGCTGAGGATGTATTTTTGCAGTGTCGAGAGCAACTCATACCGTCTGCATTTGTGTTCATAATGAAAATGTTAAATTAATGATAAAAGCACTTGATATAGAAAATTTGCAGATAAAATCCTTACAAATTATCATGATTGCATTAATGGTATTGTATGCGATGATTTCAAAGATACTCGTTTTTTGCGAGAGTGCAAATCTTGTGAGAACATAGTGGAATTAAAAAATTTTTTAAATAACATTCTGGATGAAAATGATATTTCTGAAATTAAATTTGATACTTGGGCTCAAACTGATAGGCGTATGCTGAAAACGGAACTTATGAAAAGTGACGAATTCGTTACAGAATTTTGTGAACGTTTACTTAAATTAAAGACCCACGATTTTCTTCCCAGCAAACAAATGCTCTTCGTGAAAAGTCTAAAAGATAATTTGAAGAAACATGAATTATTGTATGCGTAGATTTTGCAGAAAATTATTCTTTCATAGTAAAAAATGCAGCTAAGTGATTTCATTGGAACAATAATCAAGCAACTGTTTTTACTGTAGTTATCTACTATCAGTTCAGTCACAAACTTGAACAAAAGAGTTTGGCAATAATATCAGATAACTTGAATCACGATACTGTTGCTGTCCATGAGTATCAAAAAATATTTTGCGATTACCTAAAAACTAATTACGAAAATCCAAAGAAAATTTACTACGTCTCAGATGGAGCAGGTCAGCATTTCAAAATTAAAAGCAACTTTATAAACCTCCTTTGTCATGCAGAAGATTTTGGGATTCCTGCGGAGTGGTATTTTCAAGCTACAGCGCATGGGAAGGGAGGATGTGATGGCGTAGGAGCCAATATAAAAGGAAATGCAAGAATAGCTAGTTTGCAACGTTAATCTGGCAATAATATTTTAAACGCTTAAGATTTTTTCATGGGCGAAAAGTTTTTGTAAGGAGGTATTTTTCAGTAGTAACAGGAGTTATGAAACTAGGGTTCGAACGATACTATCGATATTGAGTAAGTATCGATACTGAGGGTATAAAAATGAGTACTTTAATACTCGATACCTTATTTGGTGATTTTACTCGATACTTTGCAAAGTACTCGTAGTATCGAATACTTTTTAAAACGCACACTTTTTAAATTTTTTCTTCCATTGCTTTCTTTGCTTATATGGATTACTATCGTCCAATTTTGTCTATCACTTAAAATAAACTGAAATTGCGTGTATTCTGTTGCATAAAATAAACCAAATAAGTGGAAGTTTAGTGGCCTTATTCATAAAAAATAAAGTAGGTTTAAAGAGCTTAATAAAATGACATTTTCATACATTTTTCAGTTTATAAACCTTTTTTATTTTTTATGAATAAGGCCATAAAACTTTACGCAAAGTTCACGAAAATGCAGATTTTTTAGAAACTTTTTGGGAATGCAGTTTTTTAACCTACTAAAATTTACGTGTAGCCTACTACCGTTGACTTTTAATTCAAACTTGCACATTATTACACTTAAATTGATTAGGCTACAAAAATGCATACTAAAACTTTACAAAATTTTCTTAATAAAACTTGAAATATGTATGTACATTTAACGTTAAAATTACTTCTAACGTGAAGGTAAGTTCTGCAATGAAATAAAAATCAAATATTTTAAATTTCTATTGTTTTAATTTCAGGAAATAACTAGATATACCATTGAAGAATAAAATAATTTTTGTATCCCGAAAAACGTATTTTAATGAGGCCGATACTGAGTAGTATCGATACTTTTCCCCTGATACTTTTAGAGTATCGATACCATGAGCTCGATGCCAGAATGAGTACTCAGTATCGATACCAAAGTCCGAAATTTCGAACCCTATATGAAATAGCTGTTAATACCCTGAAAAAAGATTCGAAAAAGCCTTAACAATAGTAGGTACACTTCAGTTTCATGCATTTATACCAGTTGCAAAAGATACTTTGAAATTAAAAAAAATCTCTTCTGCCCTAGAATTCAAACTTTTTGTCATGATAGAGAACAAGAATCACGGTAAAAAGAAAAACTTTTTGAAAACAAAAACTCAACAAATAAAAAAACCTAAAAAAAACTAAAAAAAATCCAAAAGAAGAGACCTAAATGAGACATCTAATTAAAAGGCAACCTAACTGCGCTCGGTTGGGTATAACTAAATGCAAACATCTATGCGCATCACCTTAATATTGCNCAGTCAAAAGCTTTTTCGCTTTTAATTTCATACTTTTCATATGTGACAATGAAATCAGTTCCACTCATGTGGAAATCAGTTCCACTAATGTGGAAGTCGTAGAGCTTTTTGTTTTATAAATATTGACACAGAATGCGAAGGAAGCTTCTACTTGATAAAAATCTTGATAAAATTTCTTTACAAAAAAATTATCAAGAAAACACAGAATTGGGCGGTAAGTATTAAGAAGTTTTTTAAACTTAAATTCTTTGGAATAGTTTTTAGTTTATTGTGTGAAAATTTCAAATCGATCTATACCCNGCTTTGAGTGAGAGCGGTGTTTATACACTCTTTCTAACTGTCTGGAGAATTAAACTACCGATTTGAAATGGAGTGTGAGCCAAAACACTTCGCTCTTTCAAAGCGATTTGAAATTCAGTTTATACATATGTTTTGAATCGCGGCGAAATGAATTAAAGCGACTTATGCATGCGTATAAACGCAGTANTTTTTAGTTTATTGTGTGAAAATTTCAAATCGATCTATACCCAAACGTCTGAGATATAGCGTGTTTAAATAATAATTTTGTAAAAATTTTCTATCACAGTATGATGTTTTAATTTGTTCAAACGAACGGAGTCGACGTGACGCGACGGAGCGTGGCGACTGTCATAGCCCTCTATTAAGCGCTTTATAGCTCGAAAAAATCAAAAAAGTCCCTTTTTTATTAATGATTTATATGTAAAAAGACCTGATCTTTCGATTGAGACGACTTAAAACAATATAAAAAATTACTATAATTGAGAAAAATTACAAATAAAATTTGTTGCGAATTTTCACCGTGAAAATGGGAAAATTTTGGAAAACGCATAGCACCATCGGATAGCCCGTACAAAAATCTATATAAATCATGGTTTTTGAATTATTTTTCCCATTTTCGGTCTGCTTTTCAGCTATTCGAAAACAAGCTTGTTTTGCACCGCTCAGCGCGCTTGGGACATTTGACGTGAATCGCCTCATATAATTATTCACATTTCAAAAATTGCATACATTTTAAGATATATAAAAAATCTGCCCTTTTTCCCTACGCACGCATTTTTACAGCCAAAATCCCTACATGTAGGGAATTTTTCACAAAAGTATAAAGCGCAAAAATTTCAGGTGCAAAAATGTCTACTAATTTCCAATTATGTTTCAACTAATTGCACGAATTTTATGGTTTCATCTGTCATTTTCATAAAATGCAGGCTAGGGATGCCCGATATTCGATGATAAGACGTAAAATATCGGTGTTTTGTAATCGATTGCGGACTATGCGGAACATCGGCACAGCGATACCTTGTACACATAATCGAAGCGTCGATGATTCGAGATATGCACAGTTCATATGTAGTTACGATTTTTGTATTTCAGGGGACGATATACCTGAACGTGCTGCCACGTATGTTAAACTATAATTCATAAACGGGCGAAGGTAGTAAAATATTTTTTTTGATTTTAAGGTTTTTAATAAACTTTTTTTAAACAAACTCAAACTGAAACTCATAACAGAGGAAAAAATGCATGAGAACAAATGTTGTTAACAATTGCGTGAACCCTTCCAACAGAACTGATTACTTCTGATGAGCACGGAAACAAATTCGTATTTGAAAATTATATCGATGTTGTGTAAAATCGATGATTTTCGGTCCATGAAAATCGAGGATCGATGTTGACCCTCCGATGTTATCACCGATGAAAAAATCATCGCTCATCCCTAATGCAGGCACGCACATGGAAGATTGAAAACAAACTTAACCTTCTTCCCCTTTTTAAGCGTACGTCTGGCTAGCTGCCAACACTTCTGTACGATAAGCGATTTTCACCCAGCTTTCTTTGACGAATTTCTGAGCCTGACGACTCGTATGCTGCTCTGTATTTAATTACACGTATGTATCATAAAAGCGTGCAAGTTTCGTATACAAATTTATTCATCATTCGACAGTGCTTGAATGAAGAATAAAAATTTATTCGTCATTCAAAATTAGAAAAATTATGAATAAAATAATAATAATTCATTCAAAAACGCCCATCCCTGATTTGGTTCTAATAAACCATCGGCTTTAAACTTTGATACGATGAAAGTGATGTAGACGACACCGAAAAATTTACACTTTCATTAAAAAATGTATAGCAGTACCTTAAATAAGTGCGAATAATATAAATTGAGGAAAGACAAGACCCAATCCTTCTTGAATGAAAAATTTACCTCATGGAATGAAAACACTTTATATGGGCCGAGTTTTGAATTGAAATCCACACGTAATTGTTCGACACAGTCATGTTGGTGATTGGTTTTGAGTCGGATGAGATTTGTATTTTATTGACCACCTTATACATTTAAAAGAAAAGAGTTCATTGATTTTGTTAAAAACTGCGTACTAACCAGACTCACCAGGAGAGTATCTGTATCCAAAACCTTTATAATGCCTTGTATGGAGCACCACAGCTTTCCTTGCACATTCAGCAACTTGGTTACAGGACTTGTTACGGTGCCGATTGAAAGACAGTGCGACAAACTAGTGTTCCAGGCAACTGCATAAAATTATAAACAGCAAAAGTTAGGACAAAAGCATGCGCTGCTATTTTGTACATGTAAACGCATAGTGGAGCGGCGAGCAAAGCATCAATACAAACGTGTATGTACGCTTTGCTCTTCACTCTGTGCGCTCCGATTGAAACAAATACGTTTGTAATCGACGCCTTGCCGATGCTCTTTGCTCGCCGCTCCTCAATGCGCTTAGCCTAAGAGAAACAATACACACCTCCATCTCGAAGATATACACAGATATCACCATTGGCCAAAGAAACAAATACACGATTATCCAGGTACCTAGCCAGCGCAAATATTAAATTTAAAACGGTTAAATGTGTACGGTAAATTTTGAAGTGTTCCTACTCACAAAATGGAATACACAGCCGACTGATGTTCAATCTTAATTCTATTCTTCTTGATGCGAATATTATCGGTGCTATTGTACACATGAATGCAGCCGTCTTCCGTGCCAATCCACATAGTTGATAAATTTCCATCGCCATCGTCTGGATTTGAGTCCTGAAAATAAGAATAATAGACATGCAAATATGTATAAATAGTGCCTTTATATTTTTACTATTTTCTTAAGAGTTCGACTAGCGTACTTGGTGCGAGTGATGCGATGGTGTTCCGCTACTACTGCTGCCCGGCAATGTCACCGAAGCGATTGCCTGCACCGAGGGAGCAGGACTGGGTACGCGTTCTACGGTGCTGCTGCCGTTACTGCATATAGCTTCAGCAACAGCACTAACGTTTATAAGACCAGTATCTGTCTCGTCATCACTGGAACTTAGATTCAAATCAAGTTGGTTTTCAGCACTGCCGTGACTACTTGCATTACCCGTTGCGGAGGCGTTGCCGGAGTCAGTTGAGTTCACCGCAACCGCTACAGGTGCTGATGGCGTCTTTTTCTTTTCCGGTGTGCCAATCACAGTTGATGGTTGGAAGTTCGGCGAGATGCTTTTGCGATAGTCCCTCAATTTCTGCGTGTAGCTGTGTTGTGGCGTAGTACTGGCGCTGAGTGGATGCGACTGTTTTGGCTGCTGCGTGCCACTATTTGCGGAGTTCCTATTGTTTGGGTTGTAGGCAGGTACTGAGGCCACGCAAAGAATTCGAGCATTACAAACGCCATTGCAGCTGGTCACGTTTGGCTCCGGGTAGAGAGACATAATGCACACTTGTCCTACGTATCCGTCGCTGTTGCACACCCACACATCGCGCTTCTCGCTGAGCGTGGCCGCAGCGCATGTAAACTGTAGTCCTGCACGAGTTTTCCGTATTGGTATAGACATCAAAAACTCTGGAATGGGGTGTCGCTCGAGTGTGGCAGCTGGTAATGCAAATAAGTTATAAGTGATTTGATTGGAAATGTTGATGCTCCGATGCTTACCCATTTTCTGTTTAGCTTCATTGAAGGTCACCTCCCACTGAGTGCGTTTCTCAGCTTTGCTGAAGACGATCGATAGTTTTTGGCTTCCGTTCCTGAAAATTTATAATCGAAGCTAATTATGTTTTGACCAGCTAGGAGTAGTATGTTTACTTACGGTGAATTGACCAGCAGTTCCAGCAGATTCAGTTGCGTGTCATTTGTCTGACGTTCCGACAGCTGCCGCTGCACATCTCTTAGAAGTTCACGTATGACATCCTCCAAATACTGGTGTGGATATTGCAGCGATGCAGTGATGTCGGCGATTTGTTGTAATTTATTGCAGTCTTCGGCCAAATTTTCAATTTCATTCATTATGCGTTTCACGTTTTCATCTTTAGCTAAAGAAAGGAGAGATAATCCATGATATGACTAAAGAGTTATATGATCGTCTCTCACTCACTCTTCACAATTTCTAAACAGTCGAGGGAGATTTTTGTAAGGAACTTGTATTTGTTAGTATCCAAAGTAGAGGCTACAGTACCAGGGCAGGTAGAGCTGTAAAATATGATGTCACATATAAAAACCAAATATGTATGTTTCTAATGCTCAAACAATACTTACGGATTAGGCTTTCGTATCGTACCGCTACGTTTCTTGATACTTGTCAACACCAATAAATCATTGAACAGAAAGAAGCCGCGCTCTTTACGTGCACCCTGCCCGGACGGCATTGAAACCAAATCGAAGAGTAGAAATTGCCGATCGGGTGTTATCAGGTCTGTGATACCTTCGATAACACCTTCGAGCTCCCGCAAAGTAGCTTCGCGTTGCCCATTTTCAAGTATTTCGCGCTCCTTACAATTGATATGAACAAGTATGTCGTGGACAAGCTTTAGCACGTCCTGTAGATGCTTTTGATCGGGATGATGGCGATCAGTGTGCTTTATAAGTCTTTGAAAGAGCATTTCGTAACTAAGGAATAGAAAAGATTCAATATGTAGCTTAGTGGTGACAGGTAATATGATCAACGGAAATAAGGTCAATTGACTTTATTGCTTAGCTTCACGGCGGCCCGCGTCAGCGCACACCAAGTCACGCTACGCTCGTTCAAAATATGCCAATTTAAGACCCACAATTCTTTCAGTGTTCCTCCGGGGTTTTTGGACATGGACTGTTTCTTCAATTTAATAGTGTTCGCTTTATTTTTGTGGAAACGAAACATTTTTTGCAAGTTATGGATCATTTCTACAGTCTTTCTTCAAATACTTCTCGTATTCCAGCTGTGCGCAGGCGTTTAGTTTTTCGCATCGTGTTTTTACATATTCGTAATTTAAATTTTTTTAATAAAATCAATTGGTGGTAGTTCATGATTGTGTGTGGATTAATATCACAACACTGAGGATTAGGCAATAACCTTATTCACCTCTTAAAAAACAACACTTACGCGGCAATGTTTATTGTAAGAACAACATTTTTTTCTATGAATCGACATACTTTAAGCATTGTTGACGCTGTTTCCATTTGAATGAGGAAATAGCGTCAACGACTTTATTTCCAAATTTTTGTTGACTTTATTTCGCTTTTGAAAAGGTACCACCAGAGTTGGAAATAAAGTCAATTGACCTTATTACCTGTCACCAGCTTATTAACTCGCTATTAATATTATTAAATAGATAGTAAAAGGCGCAGAAAGGAGAAAAACAGGTCAACTTACTTAGGGAACTTTTGTACCGGTTTGATGAGTAGGTTGTCTAGCGTCAATTTTCCTTTATGCTCGCGGGCAGTTATTTCCAAGAATTTCGCAAACGATGGTCGTTGGTGTTTCGTAGTGCGGATAGCGTTCTTCGCGCGGTTGCAGTTATTCACAAATGAAGTGTATACTTCCAGCACCTCCAGCTTTGAAAACTGTTGCATTCAAGTTAAAATAAAGTTTGTAAATATACATAGTACAAATTACATTCTTCTACAACAATCATTGTTGCGCGATTGACCTCACCGTTTCAAGAAAAACGTCGCCAACTTTCTGGTTCGCCTCCCAACTTTCCCAACGCGATTTCAGCTCAGCATGAAATTTTTCGTGAATCTCCAGTATATCGGGTACCATAAAAAAAATCTCGTCCACAGTACGTGAATCGATCATGCCAGCATGCTCGGGAGATTTGAGTACCTTCAGATATTTTGTGACGATTGTTTGCAGTGACTCAACATATGACTGTTCGTTACGTAAGATTTCTTGTACAACGTGGGTGCGTGTATCCTATCGGTTTGAAGGAAGGTAAATATATTTATTGTGGCATTTACAAAAGTAAAAAGAAAATCTTCCCAAAATAATTAAATTTCCAGTTGCACAGCTACCATTAATACACCTCACATATTCTTCTTCTTAACTTACACCATCGTAGCCGCTATAATTCCAACGATTATTTATTTCGAGTTGTGCCCGACGATCGGAGTCGTCCTCTGAATCAGAACAAGTGGTCGACTGCATTTTCTTCAGGCGCTCGCATTTATCGTTTTGATGTGCAACAATCACTTTGTTGATGCGATTAACCGCGGTTGAGATGGCTTGGTTCGCCATAACCGACATTGTCTGAGAAACGCTGGAATTGCTGCTGCCATTTGACGTTGCCGGCGTATTTTGTTGCAAATCAAGAAGACTCAGTCGTAGACTTTCGCGATTGTGTGTCATTTTCACTTAATAGTTTCCTTATTATTATTTACTTAATATGTATATTACTGTATTTTTTAATTAGTTGAGATTAAATATTTGAACTGGGTTAAATTTATTCCGTTTCTATGTTATAATTGTCACTATTCGCTTTAGGTCAGTTATTAACAGCATTTTCCTTTGATGAGCTCTGAAATTTATTTTTCATACGTCCACTTATATCAGAATATATGTATGTACGTTTCTAATTTTCAGAAATGTGGTAAAAACAAACATGCAATTAGCAAAACGATTGGCCGCCTTTGCCTGCTGGGAATTTAAACTATTTCCTTAACATAAGAAGACTTCCTTCTTTAACAATAGTTGATATATATATAAATAGCTTTTGTTCTTAGGGACATGGTATCGAACCGAAAGTATCGATATAGTACTCATTTAAAGTATCACTGTAAAAAATATCGGGTAGCCATTAATATTGTGATTAAAAGACTCGATATTCCTAATGTCGATACCAAATTCCAAAAAATTAAATCTGAATATTGGTATTATTTTCTAATACAGAATGAACCTTATTAAGTGTTTGCTTTTGTAGAGGACATCACCGAAGGCGCGGGTTGAAATTCCGCCATATGCTAACCTAAGATTGTAAACATTTCTGCTCCTTAATACTCAGAATATATTCATTTTGCTTTACATACAAACTGCGAAACAATAAAAGTCTTATAACTTATTTATTGTCCAATTTGGCTGTTTTTTGTTGGTTATGTAAGCAGAATATATTTGCGAAAAACGGTCTCGCCAGGTGGCATCAGAGTCGAGATATTTTGAAATGGGACCGCAAGGTGACATAAAACGTATGTTTTATTTGCGTTAAAAATTAGATTAAAACAATATTAACAAAAAAGTTTCAATGGAAATTTTAGTAACGCCAGATACTTCGGCTGATAAAACAAATAACAAAAAAAATTTCGACAAACTGAAAATTCCTCATTTTTTTGAAGTCGGTTAAAAAGTAGGAAAGATTTTTACATTTAGGAACTTGGAAAATTAGCCTCAAATATTTCAAATATTACTATAAACAATTTTATACAATTAGTCTTGCCCAATTCGCAGAGTTTTTCAATTTTGTAACCACTTTGAAACGTTACAAATGCGCTTTGCTTTTATCTCTACTAAATATCTGTAATTTTTTTTACTGAATAAAGGTATACTTAATTATTATACAAATATAGAAAAGCTTTTAAAATTTTGACTTTTTCAGGTGTGCTTTGTTTTAAGCACATCAAAACGAATTTAGTAAGAGACAATTATTTTTAATACAGTGTACATATATATTATTAATCACGTTAACTCTGTAATGTGTATTTAAGATTCGATACGATACAAGGGGTCTGGTACTCGATTCCAAAAATATGGTTTTAAAATTATCGAGTAAAAAATATCAGATGGCTAAAGAATATCGTATCGTTTCGAAATTCGTGTCCCTATTTGTTCTAACTAAAAGCAAAATGCAACCGAAGGCCGATTTTTCCCCTAAGCCGAACCGAACATTCGGCTATGATTTAACAACGGGCCGATTACCGAAGCCAGAGATTTAATTTAAAGTACAGATATTTCTCAGCAACTGTTTTAAATAATTCAAAGGAGATAATATTCTAATGTGTAAAAATATCAATGTCTCTAGTCCCAACATACGTCAATGTTTGTTCGGTCCCTGATGCACTTATCGGAAAAGGGATCCCTATATGTTAATCTAGACAAAAAGCTACCGGCGTGAAAAATCTAAATCGGACGACAAATGCGATTTTACGAATAGATCGGTCCCTGGTCCACTTCCCAGAAAAAATTATAATCTATGCTAGTCTAGGAAAAAAGCTATTTACGTACAACATTTCAAGGAAATCGGATCATAACGAAGATTTTTTTTCGAATAGATCGGTTCCTTGTCCATTTACCGGAAAAAGGACCCTATATGCTAATCTAGGAAAAAAACCTACGTTCCAAATTTAAAATAAATCGGACCATAAATAAATTTTTTTCGAATAGATCGGTCCCTGGTCCAAATAGGGACTTGCCATTCGCGAGATTACTTGTTACAAAAAAGGAACGTCTCTTTATATAACACAGGCCATCAAAAATAGAAAAAAATTTGTTGCGGCAAATACTAAAGCTTTTTTTGATAGACGAGCGAGGCGATATAACCTTCCATTTAGGCTTAAATTAAGGCTTGAACTTTCAACTACAACCTCTGAAAATACCATTCCAGCACCTTGAACCTAAGGTAAAAGCCATTTATTGAACACCAAAAGTTGATTTTTGGCTCAATTTACACCAAGTTATACACCAGTGTGCTACTTGAGTATAGAAGATATAGATAGATTGTAAACACCTACATACATATTTAACAAGAGCAAGAGGAACAGCTGCAGGAAGAGCTGGATATGAAGTTTCATGTTGTTTTGTTTAATGCACTGTTGTTTTCATTCCCGGCTTTCAAGGCTGTGCATATTTTTAGCTGAAACTACACTGAGGGAAATAATGCATAGTAAAAATGAATTCTTTATATTTGATTACACAGTGCTACAAAAAAAACAAAATTGAATACACTTTTGAAGCGACCTAGAAGAGATTGTTCACCTGGTCGAGTTATCCACGAAACACCCTTCAAAGGATTTGTAACACCCCCAAAATCTGGATTTAAGGCCAAAAAACTGTTTTTTCAGAGTTTTCGTTGAAAAAAAAATCATTAAAAATCTTATTTTCAACCGTTTTTTAAATTCTAGACGGTTTTGGGCAGAGAATTGTTGACACTTTCGAATTATACAGTATTTTGTTCATTTGAGAGGGGTATGAGATGTTTTTCACGCGAGAAATTGAATTTTTTGAAAATTTTTTCGGTTTTTCCGGTTTCGACGTAATTTTTTTGCCACTAATTGACAATGAATGAACTTCTTTGGGCATGTGTCATCGAGAGGCATTCACTACTTAATTACACAAGTGTTTTTTTTTTGAAACAAGTAGAAAATACAGCTGAGTTTCATCTCTATGGGTAATAGCTATCTTGTAAATGAAGAAAGTTCAATATACAAGGAAGTGGTTCAAGAATTCTCGGAAACTAATTTAGAAATTGTATGCAAAATGTCCATCAAGATCCATTTTTGGCATTCTCATTTGGATAATCTTGGTCAGTCTAGCTACGAACC